AGTAAGAATTAAAATATAAAGTTTTTTATATAGTATCAATACCTATAAAAAAACAGAAATTAAAGAAATCCAATTGTATTTGCAAAATTTCTTTATCTTAACATTCATGACTTTAAAAGGATGTTACAAATGACCCAACTAAAAACAAAAATCATAGCACTTATATATTTATCAATTACAAAACCAAATGGAAATACATCAAAATTACAAAAGGAAAATTCTAGAAGAACGAGTCTTAGAAGAAAAGTCTGAATTTTTATGTATGTTTACTATTACTATGTATGAGGAAACATGATAATTATTAAAAACAACTTCAGATTCATTACACATAAACTTAATTATATTTTTTTTTGCCTTAATTGTTGTTAAAACTACTACAATTTGTTATAAAAATATAATGTCTTGCTATAATAAAAAAAAAACACTCATGTTGTTTCATTTTATATTAATAATATTTATTTATTTATTTATTTATTTATTTATTTACGGGTAGAGACCCAATTACATAAGTGAATAATTTAGTACATAGAGTTTAAATATAAAGTAACAGTACGGTTGGAAAAATAAATAACTACATACATAAATTAATATAAATAGATTAACAAAATCACAGATTATAAATATAAAAAATTATATAAGATAATAATTACAGAATAATAATGATAATAAAACAAATATAAAAATATGTAATAATAGATGTATCAGTTTTGATAAACGGTGCTCTCATTGGCCAGCCGCATCATGCGGTCTAACGGATTATTTCTGCCATAATTGGTAGTGTGCGCAGGAACAACGAAGGGAGCATGGTATCTAGTAGCACAGGAAGGAATTCTGAAATTGACTGTCGAGAGAAGTGAGGGAGCATCTATACGACCATCAATCAGTTTATGCAGAAACTCTATGTTAGCGTTAACTCGCCTGTCGGCCAGTGAAATGAGGCTAAGTTCCTGCATAACTAAGAAATAGTCATGGGGAGGATGATTTATTTTTAAGACAAAAGCTGCGCAAGATAAGAACCGTCTCTGAACACGTTCTAATTGACATGAGTCAGATACCGTATAAGGGTCCCATAGGACCGATGCATACTCTAAAAGTGAACGGACCAATGAGCAGTATAAAGTTTTTAATGAAGAAGATATATTGAACTCCTTTGATATGCGCATTACAAACCCAAGGGTTTTTAAGGCTTTGCAGCATATCATTTCAGTGTGGGAGTGAAAATTGAGATCGGAATTAAAGATAATACCTAGGTCTTTCTTACTACAAACCGATGTTACACTTGAACCATTGATGGAGTAAGTATAGTTAATAGGGGAGCGGTGTCTTAAAAATGACATGGAATGACATTTATTTATATTAAACTGAAGACCAATATTATTAAACCAGGAGACCAGGTTGTTGAGATCATTCTGGAGCATAGAGCAGTCAGATAAGTTATCAATCTTCCTAAAGAGCTTCAAGTCGTCGGCGAACATGAGAAGTTCACAGTTATTGACAATTTCCTTGATACCATTTACATATAAAGAAAACAATATTGGAGATAAATGTCCTCCTTGAGGAACTCCAGAAGAGACCTTTGAGATGGATGATTTGCATCCGAACACTTTTACCCATTGGACTCTGTCTGACAAATAAGATTTGAACCAAGACAACAATGGTTCACCGAACCCAATTTTGTGTAGGGTCTCGATTAGACGGCCATGGTCTACTCTATCGAAGGCTTTAGTAAAGTCTGTGAAAATAACATCAACTTGGATGTGCTTCTCGACAGCCTTCATAACAAAATTGTTAAAAACGAGTAAATTAGTAGTGGTCGAGCGACCAGGCCTAAACCCATGTTGCTCGTCGATTAGAATAGAGTTAATTGGCGATTGAATATTTCTCAATACTAGAAGTTCAAATAGTTTGGATATATGGCTCAAAATAGAGACAGGTCTATAATTTTTGACATCAGCTTTATCACCAGATTTAAAAATAGGAGTGATAGAGCTAATCTTGAAAGAAGAAGGAAAAACTCCGCTTTCGATTGAACGCTTAAAAAGTAGCCACAGTGGAAAACATAATGAAGATTTCACATTGTATAAAAATATACCTGACAAGCCGTCGGGGCCTACGGACTTAACATTTTTTAGTGCGTCTAGACCAGCCTCAACATCATCGATGTCGAATGAACAAGTGCTAGGTAGGTCATGGAACAAAAAAGGGGACGAATGGTCAGTAGACAGAGGAGGGACATAGACTGTATTGAAGTAATGGGAAAATAAGTTAGAGACAGACTCTGAACCCGAGCTTTGTAAATTCTCGAAATGTACTGAGTGGGGAATTTCGTTGCTAGATTTATTAACTCGGACAAAGTCCCAAAACGACCTGGGGTTAGATTTAAGCATAGACTCAGTACGAGACAGGTAGATAGTATGACATCTCTTGTATTCAGCCTTGTAAGAGGCACGAAGTGCGGAAAATTCCGCATAATCATGGGGACATCGTGAAGCTTTAAACTTGGCATGAGCCCTTTTCTTGCTTAAAACAATATGCTTAAGATTTTTTGAAAACCATTTCGGGAATGTCGAAGGTATATAAGACACTTCCGGAACAAAGTTTAAAATGCAAAAGTGCAAGGCGTCGTAAATTGCCTTAGCCGCTTCATCAACGTCGAGAGATATTATGGTCTCCAACCAATTAAATGAATTTAAGAATTCGCATATTTTTGAATAGGGAGCACGGCGGAAGTCATAATAATTATGGGAACGATCAAGTAAAGGGGAGAGTTTATCCAACTTTATCATAATATCAAGAGCCGGGTGGTAGGGATCACAAGGTACTGCTGGAGTTACGGCTTTAGAGATATAGATTCTGTTATCATTGGAGAACACAAGGTCCAATACTACACCAAAAGGGTTTTGAATATCATTAAGTTGGAAAAAGTTAAAGAACGCAAATGCATCAGGGATACATTGAACTCTGGGATTAGAAACCGTATTGTAAAGTAAGCCAGAATCATCATTGGACCATATAATATCTGGCAAATTGAAGTCACCACAAAAAATGAAAACACATTTTGGATGAAGGAGAAGAACGGATTGTACAGCGGAAATAAAAGATTCATAAGCAGAAAGTGGGCAATTAGGAGGAAAGTACACTGAGCACAATACATAGTTGATGTTATTATAACTAAGTTTAACAAATAGATGTTCAACATTGGTAGCTGGAGTGTAAATTAAATTAGATACTATGTCACTACGAATGGCAATGAGAGCGCCGCCACCTCTAGAAAAATTACTTGTTAAACTATTTCTATCACATCTATAAATGATGTAGTTGGATAGACCAAGCTCACTATCATAGAAGCTGTCACATAGCCATGTTTCAGTGAAACAGATAAAAACATAATCAAAAACAGCGACATTACATTTTAATTTACTTAGTTTGGTTCTCAACCCGCGGCAATTTTGATAAAAACCTAAAAGAATATGGTTACAAGTACATAAATCACTACATAAACAATAATCCTTACTATTATAATTATAAGAGTGTATATCAACAGGAGGATCACAGATAGGCGTACATGAAGAAATTAGTTTTTTGGAGTGTCGCTTAGAATCATCTCGGGCGTAAGACGACCCCAAAAGCGTTTGACCATTACGCCATCAGGCCAGAATGTAGGTTCGAGGACTACATCGAGCTTCTCCGCAGGCAGGCGCACATGAAAAGAAGAATACGATGGATGTTTTGTCACTAATTTATGTATGGTCACATCTGAGTAGCTATTGAACAATTCAGATTTAAGCATAGAGGTCGTTACACATGGCTCAAGTCTTGAGACAAAGATATCAATATGTCTCCGCACTGGCACTGAAGACAACTTGGAGGATACACTTTTATGAGAGCCAACGATAAATTTTGATTNATATTTTTTAATTATTTCAATATTTATATGTGACAATTATGAATTACATAATACAGAAATCTAAGATTATAAATTCATAATATCAAAACATTGTAATATTAATACGTATCTCCATTATATTGTCGATAAGCAAATTAAAAAATGTACACCTATAATTATATATTTTTATTTGTACATTTATAAAAAGTATTTTTTTTTTTTAATATTAATAAATGTTACAAAAAATATTGCCACCTTAACAAATTTATCTAACAATTTTTTTAACTTATATTCTTAACTATTAATATAAATTTGTAATTTTTTTCTCATGAAACTGTGTTTTAGACTACAGGTTGTAAAGACGTTGTGTCTTTAAACAAAAGTCTTTTACATTTTATATATAATTTTTTTTAGCAATAACTGTACTAAAAAATATCATATTGCTATAATAGACTATTAACACTATACTATATATTATTATTCGTTAACATAAAAGACTTAAAAATGTTATTTTATAAATTAATAACAAAATAAGAAATTGGCATTTATCCACATTACTGGTTATTACATAATTATTAACTATATTTTTATATTCATTATCACTATAATATTATCATTATTATAATTACTATTATAGTATACCACACTCACATATTATTATTATCATTATATTTATGATATAGTTTTTTACTTTTTTTAATATTTAAGCATAATATACATCATTATTTTTTTACTTTCACTCATAACAAATACATACTAGGCACTCTCATATAAATTCAATAAGAACCAAATATTTAAAACCCTTATTCTGGCCTGTTCTTATCGTGCTCTGGACTACATTACGCAATCGTCGTAATTGTCATTGTCAAAGTTCTTACGTAATAATTTTTGTTCTAAATTGAATTGTGTTATTTTATTCATAAATTATTGATTAATGCTATTGTTTAAGATATTATAAGAACTGAGAAAAAATTATCAGGTAAGACTTTTTTTAATAATCAATAAGAGCCGATATTTATGTAATTTTATGAACCTCGAATCACCTTTTCTTTTTATTTTATTATGTTTTGAGTAACGATACAACTTAATAAAATAAAATCATTACAACAGACAATTAATTACTACAACCATTTTCGCTAGCATAAATAATTATATCAGTAAAACCATTTCGAGTAGCTTCATAAATGGTATTTCTACTCCATGAACAATTATTTTCATGAGCGTATTTTAAGCAACTTATTTGATTATTTGCAGCCGCTAGTCTTGTTGTGCCTTCATCCCACTCACATCCATTTTCATGAACATATTTCAGACATTCCAAATGACCATTTGCAGCAGCTGCACTCATCGTCCCTTCATCCCATGGACATCCATTTTTATGTGCAAATATCAAACAGTTAATACAACCACTAGCAGCCGCTTCTCTCGTTGTTCCTTCGTCCCATTCACAACCATTATTATGGGCATATTTTAAGCAGTCCAAACGTTTATTTGCAGCAGCCATTCTCGTCGTACCTTCAACCCAATCATATTCATTTTCATGAGCATATTTTAAGCAGTCTAAATTACCATGAGTAGCAGCTATAACTATTGTATCTACATCCCAATAACATCCATTTTCATAAGCATACTTTAAACAATCGAAACAACCACTTGCTGCAGCAGCTCTAGTTGTGCCATCATCCCACTGACATCCATTTTTGTGAGCATATATTAAACAATCTAAATTACCTTTTAAAGCAGCAACTCTAGTTGTACCTTCTGCCCATTCGCATTCATTTTCGTGAGCATATTTTAAAATTTCCAAATTACCTACTAAGGCAGCGGCTTTAGTTATACCAGCATCCCATTGACATCCATTCTTGTGAGCATATATTAAACAATCTAAATTACCTTTTAAAGCAGCAGCTCCAGTTGTGCCTTCTGCCCATTCGCATTTATTATCGTGAGCATATTTTAAAATTTCTAAATTATCATTAGAAGCAGCTGTTACTGTTATTGTTACATCCCATTTGCATCCATTTTTATGTGCATATTTTAAGCAGTCTAAATTACCATAACTAGCAGCTGCTTCTGTAGTGCTTTCATCCCAATTGCATCCATTTTCATGAGCATATTTTAAACAGTCTAAACTACCATAACTAGCAGCTGCTTCTGTAGTGCTTTCATCCCAATTGCATCCATTTTCATGAGCATATTTTAAACAGTCTAAACTACCGCTTTTTGCAGCAGCTCTAGTTGTATCTTTATGCCAATTGCATCCATTTTTGTGCGCATATTTTAAACAATCTAAATGACCTCCTGAAGCCGCAGCTTTAGCTGTGCCATCTTCCCATTTGTATCCATTTTCGTAAGCAAATATTAAACAATTTAAATTACCACGCATAGCAGCTGTAACTATTGTACCTTCATCCCATTTAATGTCGTTTTTATGAGCATAAATTAAACATTCTAAACACCCGCTTTCTGCAGCAGCTTTAGTTGTACCATCATCCCAATCACATCCATTCTCGAGAGCATAAATTAAACAATCTAAATTACATTCTAATGCAGCATATGTAGTTGTTCCTTTTACCCATTTACTTCCCTTTTCATAAACATATTTTAAAATTTCTAAATCGCCTCTAAAAGCAGCTTGTCTTGTAATAAATTCATCCAATTCGCATCCATTATCATGTGCATATTTTAAAATTTCTAAATTACCTATTGTGACAGCCGCTAAGGTTGTGTCCAAATCCCATTTGCATCCATTTTCATGTGCATATTTTAAGCAATCAAAATTACCTTCTAAAGCAGCAGTTCTAGTTGTGCCTTCTACCCATATGCATCCATTTTCGTGTGCATATTTTAAACATTCTAAACTACCATTTTGTGCAGCAGCTATAATTGTGTGCCCATCCCAATTGCATCCATTTTCATGTGCATATTTTAAACATTCTAAACTATTTTTTATTGCAGCTGCTGTTGTTGTTGTATAATCCCATTTACATTCATTTTCATGTGCATATTTTAAGCATTCTAAACTACCTTTTCGCGCAGCTTCTGATGTTGTGATTGCATTCCATGTACATCCATTTTTATGTGCGTATTTTAAAATTTCTAAATTACCACTCATTGAAGCGCCAGTAGTTGTGCTTACATCCCATTTACATCCATTTATATGTGCATATATTAAACATTCCAAACTACTATTTTGTGCAGCTGCTTCTGTTGTTGTTTCATCCCATTGGCAACCATTTTCATGAGCATATTTTAAACACTCTAAATTACCATGTAAGGCAGCTCGCATTGTTGTATATTTATTCCAGCGGCACCCATTTTCATGAGCGTATTTTAAACATTCTAAACTACCCTTTCGTGCAGCTTCTGATGTTGTTGTTTCATCCCATTGACAACCATTTTCATGCGCATATTTTAAGCATTCTAAATGCCCATTTGCAGCAGCAGCCCATGTTGTTTTTTTATCCCATTTACATCTATTTTCATGAACATATTTTAAAATTTCTAAATTACCATACTTTGCAGCTGATTCTGTTGTGGCTGTATTCCATGGGCATCCATTTTCATGTGCATATTTTAAGCATTTGAAATGCCCATTCGCAGCAGCAGCACTTGTTATTTCTTTATCCCATTTACAGTCATTTTCATGTAAATATTTTAAACATTCTAAATGCCCGTTTGCAGCAGCTGCTTCTGTTGTCATTGTATTCCAAGGACATCCATTTGTATGTGCATATTTTAAGCATTCTAAATGACCATTTGCAGCAGCTGCTTCTGTTGTGGTTGTATTCCATGGACATCCATTTTTATGTGCATATTTTAAGCATTCTAAATGTCCATTTGCAGCAGCAGCTTTTGTTGTTTTTTTATCCCATCCACAGTGATTTTCATATGCATATTTTAAGCATTCTAAATGACCATTTGCAGCAGCTGCTTCTGTTGTGGTTGTATTCCATGGACATCCATTTTTATGTGCATATTTTAAGCATTCTAAATGTCCATTTGCAGCAGCAGCTTTTGTTGTTTTTTTATCCCATCCACAGTGATTTTCATATGCATATTTTAAGCATTCTAAATGACCATTTGCAGCAGCTGCTTCTGTTGTGGTTGTATTCCATGGACATCCATTTTTATGTGCATATTTTAAGCATTCTAAATGCCCATTTGCAGCAGCTTCAGTAGTTGTATATTCATCCCATTCACATCCACTCTCGTGATCTAGTTTTAATTTTTCTATTTTACCATTTGCAGCAGCTTTTCTCATCATACCTTTTTCATATTGGCATATTTTTTTGTGTTCCAAATATCTATTTTCATTCCCTTTACGATCACAATAATTAATTAATATTTTCTGAATGGAAATTTTATTTAGTTTACTAAAAAATATCTATTTAAGAGAATGGCAGTACAATTATAATATTTATTTTTCCAAATATATGAATAATTGAAATTATAACTTAAGGTAAAGTTTGAATCAAGTTTTTTTTATCATTAAATATATATTGCTTAAAAAACAAAAATTTGATAATAATTTAGAATATATGGCCAAACTGAAGCAATGTTATAATTAAAAAACCCATTAAATAATATCAATGTGGTATTATTTAAGTCTGCGGCTCTCCTAATTGAGTGACTTACGTCAATAAATCATAAATTTATCTTGAATTTAATAAAAAAAAATAGTAATTAAATGACCAGAAATAAAAAAAAAATCGTTATCAATTAATCAGTATTAATATTATCTATAAAAACTTTTTGTATAATCTATTGGTCGTTGATATACCAATCAAGTTAAATATAAAATATGTTACCAACCCCACTCAGTTTACCCATTGTGCTCGTTTTTTAGTTTTAATGCAAGCTTGTCGACATTTTCAATTTTTATTTCTTAAAACTGTTATAATATTTTTAAAAATGAACGAATCAATAAAATGTTTTTTTTTTAAATCTTCAAGTCTTCATGGTAAAAATGACTGCCGTATTCAAAAATATGCTATTTTTATGAAAAAAATCTTGATATTATATTTTACATTTTTAATTTTATATTGCTATAACTTTTTAAAAAATCTATGAATCAATAGTATTCTTTTGTGGTAATTACTATATATACCTCTTTCATTTTATATACTTTTTTTTTAATGGGACCATTTCCCTTTATACAGATTGAAAGGGGTGTTCAAGCCTTTAAATATGCGTATAAAAAGTAGAACTTTTCAACTTAATATTTGAAAATGTTTCAGAAATATTGACAGTGTTATATATATCATAAATTAAACCGTATGTAATATACTTTAATTTGAAAAAAAAATTGACATCTGGATTTGTCTTCATGGTTAAAATGATTTTGTATTTTATTTTATTTTATTATATTGTAAGGACAAGAGGAGTACACTGATTTTCATAAATATTATCTTAATATAATCGACATTGCATTGAAAGTTAAACTTATTTAAATTTTAGTTTCGATTTGAAGCTGAGAAGGTATTAATTTAACCATGATGTGTTTATTTTTTTTTTTTTTT